AGCGGCAATAGGGCCGAGAACAAGAGGCAGAAGAAGGAGATATCTATCACCTGTGGTGAGCGACGAGGAAGAGGAAGAGAAACAGGAAGAGCAAGAGAAAGATGAAGCAAAAATGGAGGTTGAAAAGGTCACAAAACAAGAAGAGGGAAACGAAAAGAAAGATGAAGAAGAAACAAAAGAGGAGAAAAAAGAGGCGCCAAAACAAGAGGAGGAAAAAGTGCAAGGAACTATCAAGAAGCGACGCCCTATATTCACTTGGCAACCCATCAAGGTTATGGGTAGTGTGCTTCGGATACCGAGCTTTGTCCAAACATGCACTCTGAAAGCGACACAACTCTATAATTTTATGAAGATTGATCATGCAGATCGGCGTTGGAAGTCAGAGATTGATTATGTGAGGAAACCAAGGTTCTGGGAAGACCTTTTGCAGGAGCGGGTCTGGCTGAAGGATGGAGTAAGTTCATTTCTGTTACACCCATATTCATTTGGTCACATTGGTCACACTGATCACGTTAGTCACACTGGTCACGTTGGTCACACTGGTCACGTTAGTCACACTGGTCACGTTGGTCACACTGGTCACATTGGTCACACTGCTCACGTTGGTCACACTGATCACACTTGTACTCTTACTGATATCAGACGTTATTTTGTAGCACTTGGACGAAACTATACTTGAAATCAGGAATCGCCTGGCTAAAGAACGTTGTCCAACAGCAACAAAGTCCATGATTGGCGACACAAGTTTCGGCGAATTCTTCAAATGGTGGGGCCATGGAACTATGAACGATTTGAATGGGTTTGAGGATTATTTTGATGGAAAAGCACCGGTAGGGTGTGGGGTGCGTAAGATAAATTAATTCATGTATTTTGTTTGAACCTTTGAACCTTTGACTTTATTTTATGTGTTAGCTATTTTCTTAATGTTTAAATATTTTAAAGGGAGATTTACATATTAAATATTGAACTTTAACCAAATTTCTAAATTAAATACTCAACTATCTCACTTCCAAATTAAATACTCAACTATATTTAAACTCACAAATAAAAACTAAACTTTTTAAATTTTAACATATATCTAAGGGATAATCCAAAAAAAACCCTATACTTTTTTTTCGTCGCAATTTAAACCTTATATTTTTTTATCCCAAAAAACCCTATACTTTTCAAAATTTTAAAAATTATACACATTCATATACACATATTAATTATTATAAACACAAAATCAATTACACATTTATTTTCTACAAAATTAATTGCACATTTATTTTATATATTTATATGTATATATATGTTTTATATAGATATGTGATATATGTATATGTGATATATGTATTTTTTCCTAAAAATCATTATATATATAAGAAACTATTTATTATTTGTATATTGTTTTATATAAGTTCAATTGTCCAAAAAAACATGTTCTGGGAAAATAGTTTCTTATATATAAAACAATATACAAATAATAAATAGTTTCTTATATATATAATGATTTTTAGGAAAAAATACATATATCACACATATATTTAAAACATATATATACATATAAATATATAAAATAAATGTGCAATTAATTTTGTAGAAAATAAATGTGTAATTAATTTTGTGCTTATAATAATTAATATGTGTATAATTTTTAAAATTTTGAAAAGTATAGGATTTTTTTGGATAAACAAAATATAGGGTTTAAACTGCGACAAAAAAAAAGTAAAGGGTTTTTTTTGGATTATCCCTTAGATATATGTTAAAATTTGAAAAGTTTAGTTTTTATTTGTGAGTTTAAATATAGTTGAGTATTTAATTTGGAAGTGAGATAGTTGAGTATTTAATTTGGAAATTTAGTTAAAGTTCAATATTTAATATGTGAATCTCCCTATTTTAAATTTATCGCGAGAAAGTTTAGATTTTCGGAATGGCATATTGCCCAAAAGTTTAGGATTTCGGTTGGCGGGATTTTTATTTTTTTTTTAAAAAACAACCTAAAAAAGTGATTATGCTTTTATGCAGAATCATATGTGTGGGCCCGCATTAAATGGTAACGGTGCACATCTCCCCATAAACCTAATTCGTACTTCATTACCCCAAACCAGAAATTCATCCCCAGACCAGAAACCCTAAACCCAAACCGGAAATCTAACCCCCTAAACCGGATTTTTATCACATCCCGACGGTCACACTGGCCACACTGATCGAATGTCACGAATTCAACACTTTGAGAGTGTAATCTAAGATCATAGAAATGGTTCAGAGAAGTAATCGGAGTTGAAAGTCGTTGAGCATTATTCGATCGAAAGCTATGAACACAAAACAAATCCCATAAGTGTTAATAGTGTTTTAGGAACACTTTGGGTCAATGTAACTTTGTGTTCGTAATTTTTTTGTTCAAACCACTTACGAGACGTTCGTGTGAAGTGTAGTTACACTTTGGGTCAATGTAACTTTGTGTCACACTGGTCACACAGATCGAATTTCACGAATTCAACGCTATGTTGAGCATTAAGAGTGAATTGAACTTCGATAAATATTACATTGTTCAATAGGAATAAAAGTTACATTTAGTGCAGACTAATTAGGCGAATTATTCCAAATTTTTTCTCTTTGACGAATTCGATTCTGTAAATGACGATGTTGAACTTTGGGATCTTTTCCGAGCCTCGCCAGGTCCAGGAACGCGATTCTGTTTAGGTCTTCCAGTCCGCCGTTTTTCTTCCATTATAGGCGGCAACACTGAAAAATTTAAAATTTCGGGCGGTAAGACCCAATCACAAATATCGGGCACCGGATACACAGTCTCTTGGTAAGCCTTGACCCAAGTCTCTCGCCAGTAGTATTCAGAGCATAATTCGTGAATCGCACTACCTTTTCCGACCTTATGTGCTGCTGCAATTGCATGATTACATGGATACATATCCACATCAAACTTTCTGCAACTACAGGTTCTATCACCAAGATTTACCAAGTGTCTTCTACCTTTTTCATCCCTTGCCTCAAACATACCACTCAGCCTGTTAAGTTCAATAACCTCATACGTATAGGCCTTCTCAAACCGTTCATGCAGCGCTTTGTACACATACGGAGTTAACTTTTGAGAATCATCGCCACCACATGCTTCCACCCTGTACCTACTGAACCATTTTACCGTCTTCGCGACACAGATATCAAGAAAACTGAGTAGCGGATACCTTTTGGCCTTCTTCAAAACGGAGTTTATTGATTCGGCACCATTGATGGTTAATAAGTTATATCTTTCAGTCCGAAATTTACACCTTGCCCACTTCTCCGGAGCAAGTTCTTCTTTTTGCATGTACTCCGCCACTTTGGGATACCTGCAAATCATGAGATATTCACATCAGTTTACTATGTCACACTGGTCACACTTGTCACACTGGTCACACCGTTGAGAAAATCATATTGGTCACACTGGTCACACCGTTGAAAAAATCACACTGGTCACACAAGGCATACCTGTTCTTGAAATCAGAGTAGAATTCTTCAAACTCCTTCTCCGTATATGCTGATGCACATTTAAAAAACAATTTAGTCACGGTTTCACCTCTTGAACCCTTTCTTTCGGCTCCCCTATTAACATGTGCTTTCAAGTTTTGCGATATGTGCCTTGCACAAAAACCGTGATTAGCTTGTTTATATACTTCTCTCACAGCTTTCATTATACTTTTATGCCTATCGGATATCACAACCACATCAGGTCCATCCGGTATTACTTCACTCAAACTATTCATAAACCACCTCCATGAAGCGTCTTTCTCTCTATCGATCACACCCCATGCTAAAGAATATTGGTGATGTTCTCCATCCTGCGCGGTTGCCATGACCAATGCTCCCCTGTATTCGCTTGTCAAAAATGTCGTATTAACAACAACAACTTTACGCATATACTTCCATCCTTTTATAGTTGCACTTAACGCGAAAATAGGTACTTGAAGCTTTTCTAATCATTGTCCAACTCAAGACGCACTATGGATCCATGATTTCTTTCTCTCAACATGTACATCCACCCAGGAAGCCTCATGTAATGATCGACATGATTACTGCGAATCTCTTTTTCAGCACTGTACTTCCCTTTCAATGCCATCAAATACGAAACAGTTGCCCCGTACTTGGTTTTTATTCGTCGTACTAATTCTGGGGCAGTAGAAGTTTCGAGGGTCCCAACATATTCTTCCTTCAAAAAATCTCTAACCAAATTCGATGTACCCTTCATAGCTTCTTCTGATTATGAAACAGGTATGCATCTGTGAATTGGATTGTGTGTTCCGACGCTAAAACGATTCGAACTCGGGAGCGATGCGATGCACAATTTCTAGTTACAACATGATCCAACAAACTTGCATCTTATTTTCCACAACGTCTTGTCAGACTTCACTGTAACATAGCTGAAAAAGCCTTAACTGAACCCTTTCGTATATATTCTTGCGCGTCTTGCTTCTTATCAAACTCATACTCAATATCTATGTTCAATCCATCGGTAAATTCGAATACTGAAGTACAAAACAATGAGTCCTCCACAACTGCCATGGCCAAATCAGACGTGCTTCTGATCACACGGATTTTTCACCGGTTTTATAACGTCGTGCATCACAATTCTTCTCACATTCTAGGCATTGTAGGACGTTAGATGGCCATGGGTAGGTTGTTTTGCTTGTTTTTCCTTGCAGGAAGACTCCACGATGAATCCTCACGAAGCGGGCACGGAAGAACAAGAATTCGAGAATGCTCGGGGAGCTCAGACAAAACGAGCGACCCGCCCATTTTATGGGCGGTCGCCCGTTTTGTGAGCGGTCGCCCGTTTTATGGGCGGTCGCCCGTTTTGTGAGCGGTTGCTCATTTTATGAGCGGTCGCTCACTGTTTCGCGTGTCAGAGGAAAATGAGCGACCCGCCCGAAAAATGGGCGACCGGAAGAAAAATGAGCGACCCGCCTGAAAAATGAGCGACCGCCCGAAATCAAAATCGGCCCAAAAAGGAAAAGCCCGTGTTTTGAGGAGAAAACCTAATTCTGAACTTTGACAAAAAGGGGAGTTGGAGGAGAGAGAGCGGGGACTACACAATTTGGGGCAAAAATCACCTTGGAGAGGAAGAAAGGAGGGATTTTTGGAGATCAAGGAGGCTAGGAGAAGAAGAGGACCACCATTGAAGACCATCTTGAGCATTTCTTCTCCTTTTTCCATGTTTCTTCATTTTGCTTTCTGTTTTGAAACCCTAGTTATGGAGTAGTGACTTTGTTGTGGGTGAGGGATCCCCACTTTTGTATGGATACCTATGCTTAATCTATGATGTCTTTGAGTTTCTTCCATGGGTTTGATGTTTTGTGCTTAATGCTATTGATTTGGTTGAAACCCTAATTGATATGATTGTAGAACACATTGATCATAGGGATATGGGAATGATGTTTGGAACCAAATGTCAAATGAGTGAGTTATTCACATTGGGAGATGGCTTAACTTGCTTAGGGTTCATGATAGGGTACACTAATGCATCTAGAGATCATTTAGATCATTGGGAGATGGGTGAATCGATCCTCTAGGTAGTGAGTTTAAGCTTGGGAGAGACAAACTCTAGAAGAAGTGCTTGAAACCCCCATATGGAGGATAACCCATAGACATTGTAGCATCATTAACCATCCATGCGATTCTTGAGGGATCCCGAACCCACAACGCCTCAAACCATCGTTTTACAAACCATTAATTTTACTTGCTTTCTTGTATTCCGACCCTTACCACAAACCACATTTTTACTTGACCACCTAATCTAGCTTAGAGATAGACTAATACATCCTAGTCCTCGTGTTCAACCCCGGTACTACAACTACCGTATACTTGCGGATAGTGGTACGAATCGGGTATTAAATATAAGACTCGGTGCGTGCGCATCAAGTTTTTGGCGCCGTTGCCGGGGACTAGGCATTTTCGTGTTAGTCTAGATTTTTGATAGATCACCATTGCTTGGATATTTGCTTGGATTACTTTGCGACATAACCGTTTCACAGCACTTTCGGTTCGTTTTGTCTCTTTGGTGTGCAGCTCTTCCGGTGCATGACAAGAAGCACAACCGGTAGAGATCAACTCATCTTCGACCCCGAAATAGAAAGGACCCTACGCTTCGCCCGTAGACAGCAAAGACAGTGGGGAATGGCCGAAGAAATGCTGAGAGAAAACAACGCACGAAGAGAACAACCAGAGATGGCCGAAGAGCTGTTGAGAGGGGCCAATGCCCAAAGAGGTCCAGCCCAAGCAGCCCCTAGAACGCTTCGAACGTACACACAACCGAAGCTCAACAATATGAGTTTCCGTGGGAGACCAAACGAGGACCCGAATGCCCACCTTACAAACTTCAAGATGAACTGCAAGACAATCAAGAAAAGGTGTAGAGCCAATCTCTAGCTCTCTCCGTAAGTGAGTAGGGGAAAGTCTCAAGGAACACGTCTTCAAGGGTAGTCCTCGGTCTTTTCTTGATTGTCTTGCAGTTCATCTTGAAGTTTGTAAGGTGGGCATTCGGGTCCTCGTTTGGTCTCCCACGGAAACTCATGTTGTTGAGCATTTGGATGCATTGCGGTAGGAGTTCAAGTTCTTCTAGTGGTCC